CCTAAGCATCCCAGAAACGACACAGAAAGTCATAAAGTCAAACATAACTTTTAAAAACACCAGTATAGGCTCATGAGGCCCTGATGGTAAAAGTATGTCAGTAAGTCAGTATCCAGCAAGTCAACCAAAGCAACTGTATGTATAATTTACTTGAGAAGCAGCTCTTAGCAGTTCTCAGATAATTCTTATACATCCACATTTTTCACACTTCAGAGACATTCCCGTAGAGCAAAACTATGCGTAAAGAGTGCAGGGAGGAAAACAAGAGTGCTTGACATGTTTACGATGCTGTGCCAAGAATAGCAGTGGAATGAAGACTGGATTTCAACACAGATGCTCTTTTGCATGGATTAACAACAAGGATGCAACATGTAGCTTAAGCTACAGTCTGCTAGCATGAATTAAGCTTTCATGCATTAAACACACATTAAACTTGCTTTAAGTTTTAAATCTCCTGGTTATCATGTTATCATGTACTGTACTAGAGGCAAAAGTTTGGCAGGCTTTTTGCTTTTATTATATAATAAATGTCCTTTATTTATTGATTTTCAGTAACATTATTCTGATTTTTTTGTCTCCAATTTTCATGCAGAGCATTCGTTGCTGTTGTTTTTCTGCACGTCACTTCACGTAGATCACTTGTCAATCAAACTGTGTGGTGAGTGTTGTCATTATTATTGTTATTATTACAGCACGGAAAAGAGATAATCGAGCTGTCATGCCATCAGATTGGATTGGATAGTCTTGAAGAAGTTGACTGACAAACAGACGTCTATTCAAAAGCATTGGGTCCAGTAAATAGATGTTGTATGAACTGGTCTCAAATCAGCAGTGCACTGTTTGTTGACCTCAGCAAAAATGTCTTGTTGTGTAGCAGAAAGTGGATAAAGTCTTGACACAGGGTAGTATAAAGTATTCAGGGAGAATAAATGTCAAAAAACGAAAAAATGAACAGTCGACTCAAACAAAGCCAGATTTACAACAAGCATTTTCCCCTGAACACTTGCTTTTAGCACACTCC